GCCCGGGAGACGCCCTGGTGGCTGGACACTCCAGTGTCGTGAGTGACCCCTTCAGCCTGCTGCTCCTCGATCAGGGGACTGGCTCACCTGGAAGACCCCAGGCGGGGGCTGGAGGAGGCTCTGCTGGGAAACAGGTAGATCGGGGTCCGCCAGCTGGGGTGATCCTCCAGGGCAGGTATGGAATGTTCCAGACTGGCGGACATTCAGCCTTTCCTGCCCACCACTGGCCACCCACGGCTTAGTCTGAGAGAAGAGCTGGGGTCCCCCACAGCTGGGCGTGGACTGAGCTCTCAGGGGGTTTCAGGGCCTGTGTGTGCACGTGTGTGTGTGTGCGTGTGTGTGCCCACACTGGGCTGACACTCAGCCATACTCACCCACACAGCCATGCCAGTTATGAAAACATTGAAATATTTCTCTACTGGTTGACGACAAGCCCCCAGGCCCACCCCTAGGCGCCCCTGCCCCTCCTGCCAATCCACACAGAAGGACCCATCCCAGGCCCACTCTGGCTTCCACTCCCATGGGTCAGGGGCCACGCCGGACAGCCCCCTGAAGTCCAGCTGCCTGGAAGCTTCCTGGGCACTGACATCGGCTCCCCAAAGGACCCGGAGAGTGAGCTGGCGCCCACCCATGATTCTTGCCTGGCCCCAGGGAGCTGTGGGGGGCACTGCCCGGGGCACCCTGGCAGCCTCCTGCCCACTAGCTCAGCAGCCAGGCCACCGTGGGGCCCATGTGCAGTCCTCTGAACAGCATGTCCCTTGGCCTGGACCTTGGTGGGAGAGATGGCAGTTGGGGGTGGCCCCCACAGCCACAGAAGGCCCCGTAGCAGCTCAGCTGCCCAGCAGCCCCAGGAGGGAGGCAGGAAGGATGGAAGGCCCAGGCGGGCTCCAGACGGCTGACTGGCTACAGCATCCAGTCCCGGAATTAGAGCAGCTGGACTATGGTCCCTTCCTATGGAACTTTCTGGGCCTGAGGGGCAAGGAGGGCAGCTGAGGCTGGGTCGTCCCCAGGAGGAAGGAGCGAGGGGCAGCGGGCTCAGTGCGGAGTGACCGGATTTCACAAAAGTTAGGGCCACGGTCTGACAACACAGCAGTGCCCGGGGAGTCCCGGGAAATCTGGGGCGGTGGCAGTCAGCGGAGGCCGGAGGTCCCTTTAGAGGCAGAGCCGGGGGCTCCAGGCCTGGCCGCGGTGCTCTCCCGCTGCGAGGCCCGGGACACGCCTCAGAGGTGGACATGCCTGCGGAAGCAGACTGGGGAATCCAGCCCACCCCCTGAATAACTTCTGGCATTTTCTCCATCTTCTGTAAAGTATTTTGCGAACACAGCATTGAGCCCACCCCACTCTCTGTGGCCCAGGGCCACACAGGAAGAGGGAGGGCGAGCTGGGCTCAACCCCAGGCCCCTGGCTCCCGATGACAAGAAACTGATGAAGAGCCACCCTGAGGACTCCCTGAACCCTCCCTGAGGGTGCAGCTGGGAGGGGCCCCCACACGAGGACAGGACCGTGAAGACAGGCCAGGGAGAACCTTCCATACTCCCCTCCCGGCCCTCTGCCTGCCCGAGACGGAGGTGGCCAAGGCCCTGGAGGGGACCTGCAGCTGACACCCCTCCCTGGTCCCATGTCAGCTGGAGGTCAACAGGTGGCTGGGACAGCAGCTACCTCAGGTCTCCCTGGCCGCACACCTTCTCAGACCCCTAGCCTCAGCCCAGCGGCCCGCGCGTCGGGGCCTGACCCACCAGATTTCACCCTTGGTTCTTGCCCAGCTAGCACCTGCTGCTGCTGTCTGGGGAGGGGGCTTTCGGCTTCTTGGACCATCCCGGCCCCCCATTCTTCCCACCTCCAAGGCCTCGGGGGGTTGCGGAGGAGAAGTGTGCATGGGGGAGAAAGGGGCCCCCAGTTTCTCTGTGCTCATCTGATTGCTGGCCCCGCCCAGGGTACTGTCCCCAACTCCAGGGCCTGATGGAACCTGAGGGATGGCCAGGCAGAAACCCCTGTCTGGAGCACCCAAGGCCCCTCCTGCCTACTTCTCCCCGGGTGCCACGCTGGGGGCTCCCAGCTGCAGGTGTCACTGAATGGGATGAAGGCTCCGCCATGCGGCAGCCAGACTCTCCTGCCACCCACCCCGCAGGGCCCTGTGCTCCTCAGTCCCCACCTCCTGTATGACCCTCATGCCCTCCGCTGCCACGGACAGAGACCGGAAAGATGTCTGCTCAGCTGGGAGCACTGTGAGATGGGCAGAGCCACGGGGAACAGCTGCTCACTCCGGTTTGGGGTTCCTGGGGGGCCGGGCACCTAGCTGAGGGCTCCACATCCTCCACGTCACCTGAGTCTCACCAGGCCTGTCAACGTCCCAGCGTTCAGATGAGGAAAGGGAGGTCCAGGAGGCGAAGGGGCGTGCCAGGGGTCGTGCGGCTGTGAAGTACCAGAGCCTCCATTTGAACTCAGGTCTGCCCGGCCCAAAAGCTGAGCCCTTCTCAAGACAAAGAGGGGGGTGGGTGGCCTCGAACCCCGCCCGAGACCTAGTGATGTGGGCACCGAGGGACCTCCAAGCTGAGTCAGACCCATCCCCACCGCACACAGCTCCAAGTCCAGCTGAAGGCCCAGAGTCCCCTTGTCTGCAGCCAGATGACCAAGGTATGGCTCCCGGCTCCTCTCAGTAACAGCGGAGTGTTGGGGAAATGATTTAACTTCCTGTTCTTCATTGTCCCGTCTGTAAAATGGGGATAACAATGAACACGCGCCTCATAGGATTGTACTGAGTAAATCAGTTAATACATGTCCGTGGGACCAGTCCAGAGCAAGTGCAGAGTGCCAACAGCTGTGTAAAACTGTCGCCCAGTTGTTGCACGTCTTCCCAGTCCCTTCTCGGCAGACGGCACAGCTTCTGTCGTCACTGCCAATAACCAGCACGAGGCCAGGCACACGGTAGCTCATTTACGCTTTTCGCTCCAGTCATGAAGGGCTATCAGGTTTGTGTGTGTGAGGGTGGTCTTGAACCCTAGATTCCAGATAGCCACATTCTTCCTAGTAGCTAGGCATGAGGGAACCTTGGGAAATGAGAGCTATACAGCCAACGAAGGTTTCCTTTTTTGCCTTGACCACCAGGAAGCTCAGAGGCAAAATTATATATGGTTCAACTAAACAATGAGAGCTGCTCAAGGATGGTAACTGCTTTCATTTTGTATTCCAACCAGATGGATGGATAGTGCTGAGTTGAGAAGGATTCTGAGGCTGCAATGAGTGATATCAGCCGCAAGCATGGCCAGGGTGCATTGGGGCTAAGGAAACGAGAGCAAGGATCCATTAGTGACGTCTGCTGTGAGCACAGCCATGGAGAGCACACTATGGGCCTAGCAGGCACGGGCCACCACCCGGGTGGGCCACTTGGCTGTGTTTATTTCATCCACGTCTACACTTCCTCTCACATGTATATTTTCTCTGTTATGTTTTATATTTTATTACATCTACTGCCTTTGGGGAAGGAGGCAGGCTGTAGGTAAAATCAGCTGGCACGGCTTTCCTGGGAGCCCTCAGCAGAGAGTTCCTGACTGGGGCAGAGAGCAGCCCCGGAGCTGAAGGCTTCCTCAGCCCCCAGTCTCGTGCCCAGTGCCTCCCGCAGGCCTGAAAGTGGACGTGCCCTGGATTTCAGCCACGGAAAGCTTCTTGCAAGAAATTCATTAGGTTCAGACCGAGAGTTAGACTGTCACTAAGGTTTGCCCTCTCTTTCCTCACTGAGGACAAGCTGTCTGGCCCGGGACGCCCCCTCAACTCCTTCTCTCTTTGGGGAGCGTCTGTGGCTACATCTTATCAGGGCCTAAGGATCTAAAGCAACCTTTGTCCCCAGCCAAGATCGGCCACCTCAGAATTCCTGAGCCCTGGAATCTGCATTTTCACCAGCGCTCCCACTGGAGTGAGACCCACAGGCCTGGGGCGACCGGGAACAACTTTGGGGTCCTCAGGCTCTTCGGCTGGGGCAGCAGCGCCACCTGGTGGTCCTGCTGGAACACCTCACCTTACCCCCTCACATTTCTTTAATGCATAAATGTTTCCTTCCTTTGTACAGAGTGGATGCTCTAGAAAGAGGCCACGTTTATCCTGTGGCTTCACTCACCCCCCACCCAGCCCACTTCTGTGTCCCTTCTGGGGTCACCTGTACCCTGGTCTCAGAGGCAGGAACCTAGAGGTATGATCGACACCTGGTTCCGCACACAAATCAAACTGCAGCCGCGCCAGCAGCCAGGCAGACGGACCAGGGCCGGGCATCACACTCCCCAGGCTTAACAGGGGGCCGGAGATGCCGAGAAAGGGCGCCCCCCTCTCCTGCAGACCCAGCCACTCTGCTCACCCTGGCTCCCTCCGCTCGGCCCCTCCTCCACCCCTGAAGCAGCGTCCCCACCACAGCAGGCTGGATTGTTACAAAGCCTCTTTAATCAAGTCAGTTGTCAAATCTCGAGCGTCTTTTACAGAACTCTGCACGGAGCCCCTCCCCACTTCGCTACAAGGCACAGCCTCACCCACCCACTCCCGGGGGCGGAGGACAGGAGAAGGCTCGCTCCCTTCCCTGGACAGCTCGGGGTCCAGGCGAATGCAGGGCCAGCTGGGTGCCACGCCCCGAGGGTGCGCCCCTCTGACTCCCTCAGCAGCCCAGGGCCAGGCCAGACCCCTTCGGCCCAGCTCACCTGGACGCTGCCGCCACGTGGTGGCCAGGCGGATCTGAGCTGCCTGGGTGGGCCCGGGTCAGGCCTGGAGAAGGGGTGTCTCTCCCAAGTCAGGTAAAGCCCACCCTCTCCCACCACCTTTAATGAAGATGTGAAAACCAAATACATAAGCATCAAAGTGGAAAACGAGTTGACCCACGCAGTGGGCAGTCCCTGATAGCCCCAGGCGCCTGATCCACCCCCACCCCGGTTTCTAATACATTTCCCCTCCACACTATATACAGCCCTGAAAGCAGGGAGAAACCCAGCCCACCTGCGCAGGGGTGCTGCAGACAGCATCTGCTCGGAGCTGCCAAGAGAACCCTGCAGGCAGGGAGCAGAGGAGCCACGGAACAGCCGGGCTCAAAGCCGGAGGCAGACAGACAGGGAGAGGGGTCCAGGCCCCAGAAAGCCCCCCACTTCCAGCCAGCACAGGACGGGCAAGGGGCCTCGGCAGTGAGGGGGGAGGCGGGCCTGGAGGAGGGAGCCAGGGAGCCCCGGAGCCCGAGGCTGGGGGACGGGCAGGGAGCTGGGGACAGCGGCTGCCTCAGTACTTGGGCACCTTGCTGTAGTCTTCGGAATGGATGTGCCGGCACAAGCAGACAGACAGGAGCACCCCCAGGAGCTGTGGAGGGAGAGGGCGAGTCAGGCTGGTCCCCCAGAGGCCCCGGAGCGGCATCTCGCCGTCCAGGTCCACACACGGGTTTCCTCCAGATGAAGTGGATCCTCAATGAGGGCCTCATGACCAGCCTGGGAGTCGGGCGGCAGAGGGGCCAGGGAGGGACGGTGCTCGGGCCGGGCTCGCCGCAGGGCCTCAGCCTCCCCAAGAACATGAGCGGAGCAGGGACAATCCGAGAGGACGGAGTGTGGGGAGGGCGGGGGGGACCCACCTCAATGACAGCGATGCCCACGCACACGCCCAGGATGACACCCAAGTTCTCCTGCAGCCACTCCTGCACCTTCTTCATGCAGCCCTGCGAGGGACAACACGGCCACGTCACCCACGTCACCCACGCCACATCGCCCACTCCATCACCCAGAATCGCCAGGAGGGGCCCCCAGCCCAGAGGGCCCACGGAGAGGGGTCTGCATGCTCCTTGGATGGATAAATGACAAGGAACAGATGAATCAAAGGCAGGACAGCTGAGTGGAGGGAGGAAGAGAGGAGCGGCAGGCCAGGCCAGCCTGGGCGTCCCGAGTGTCTGAACCCCCGGCCCCCACACACCTCCGTGTACACGGGCCAGAGCTCGGGGTTGTTGCCGCTCTGGCTTGTGTTGCTCGGGACCTCGCAGAAGCCCTTCCTCTCCAGGAGGTTGTCATCGCCCTGGCTCTTTTTGCAGGAACAGGGGAAGGTGACGTTGGTGCGATTCATGAGCTCGGCGTTGTCCGTCCAGTTGTAGGAGCTCTGCCAGCCGCAGCACTGTACCTGCAGAGCGGGGACAGGCTGCTCGTGCCAGGCCGCTCCGGGGGCCGCCTCCCGGGTCCCAGCCACACGGTGGGATTAGAGTCGGGGTCTCACTCCGGCTTTTGTGAGCCACAGGAATTTACAGGGGCTTTCAGGAAACACGCACCATAAACCACGAACATGGTAGGAAGCAAAAATCAGGACCACAAAAATATAAAGCGGAATAGGAGGGAAGTTCAAGTGGAAAGACAGAACGGAGGGGTGTGGGACGCAGGGAGGGCAGACGGCATCTGGTTATGATGGTGAGGTCTGGAGTCAGGCTCCTGGGTTCAAATCCCAGCTCTGCCACCAGCCAGCTGCTCAACTTTGGGCAAGTACTAACCTCTGTTTCCTCATCTGCAAAATGGGGGCAACAAAGATCCCTAACTCACAGGGCTGTTAGGACTAAATGGGTCAAGGCAGGCAAAGTGCCCAGCCCAGGGCTTGAGAACAAGGGAAGGCCAGTCCTACTTTCAGGTGCCAGAGTTGAGATTTGGCTCTGAGCTTCCTGGTGGCCAAAGCAAAAAAGGAGACGTGGTCAATTCTGCCTTTTTAGCAGAGAAAACGCTCTAGTTCCAGAGGCAAAGAAAGCCTTTCTGGGCTCCGTGTGCTAAGTGGGGTCTCCATGGGTCTCATGAAGGGGACCCCAAGAGGCTTCAGATCAATAACATCTGGGCTTGAATTCCGAAAGGATTGGGATCCCAGGGGCTGGGCCTGGGCTGGAAATGCCCTGGAAAGGTGAAGGGGAGGCGGGTGCCTTCAAATCCTGGCCCCGCCCTGTGCGTGGGAAGCCGAGGCACTTCTCTGAGCCTTGGTTTCCTCATCTGGAGAATGGGATGATGCCAGCACTATGCTGGGGGCCCTGGGAGGATCAATGGGCCGGCGCAGGTGAGCTGGCGCCCCCACCTTCTTCCTCCCCATCTCAGGGCGGCGAGCGGCCAGCAGGGGGCATGCCAAGCACGCTCAGGCTTCCCGGCTGCAGGCGGTTCCCAGCCCAGGTTTCATTTTTGATGCTGCAGATGCCCAGCTGCCTGGTCTCTGGCAGAAAGGCTGGCCCTCTGGGGGGCACTCCCAGCCCTCCCGCACCCCAGCAACGTGAGGCAGCTTTCCCTGGCCCTTCCCCACACAGGCAGAGCCCTCCTCTCCAGGCCCTGCCCTGACGCGGGCCAAGGTCGGTCCCCAGCCACCACCCCCGTCCAGTGCTTGTGTGACTAATAAAACACCACCGCCAACGCGGCACACGGTCATTTATGGACTCATCCCCGTGAGCGGGGAGCCGTGGCTCCACTCTGTAGAGAGGAAACTGGGCCCGCAGGTCTGGACAGGGAGCGGCGGGTCGGCGTCCCAGCCCTCGGGGCCTGCGCACCGTCGGCCCCCAGCCGCCGTCTCGAGCAGCGTCTGACAGGCGTCAGAAGCGTCCAGAGGCCTTGCCTGCTCAGGATCCCCCAGCCAGTCCACTACCTCCCACGGCGGGGCGCTCACCACCTCCCAAGGCGGGGCGCTCACCACCTCCCAAGGGACCCCTCTCCCCCAGGCCCCTTGCAGGGTGGCGCCTGGTCATCCCGGGACATCCGCCTCCCCCTGAGCTTAGCAGTCGTGGGTCAAAGCAAAGGTGTGACGGGGCGTCTTCCTGTGTGCGCCCAGCCCCCCGCCCCATGGCCCTCCCCCAAGGCAGCAGGGCCTCAGTGACCACTGTGCCCAGCGCCCTCACGGGAGAGAGGACCAGGCTGCGGCCCAGAGAGGGCGGGTCCCCGCCAAGAGCACACAGCATCTGGGACCACGAAACGGGGGACAGCCAGGACGGATCGCTGAGGTCGATTCGTGTGTGTGGCGGTGGGGTCACCACCAAGGCCGGCTGGGAACCCAGTGGGACAGTCAGTCCGTCAGTCAGTCGGTCTGTCTCTCTGTCACTGAGGTGGAATACACATACACTAAGCACACTAATTCAGCCTGATGAGTCTCTACACACATGCGAGTATAACCGCCACCTGGATCAAAGTTTGGATAGAACATTCCTTTCACCCCAGAAGGTTCCTCCCCTAGAGGTCACCTCCACTTGGACTCGCGTCAGCACATCAGCCTGGCACCCAGTCCCGTAACGCCCAGGGCGGAGCCCCCCACTCCCCCACCCGGCCTGAGATGAGAGGGCTGAGAGCTGCCCCCTCTCTGGCCCCAGCTGGGACACCGCGAGCCGCGGAGCAGCGTCCAGGTCCCTGGGCCCCGAGCAGGGACTCTGGTGGCGGCCGGGGTGCCAGGAGGGGACTGCTCAGGAGCCCCCGCCCCATCAATCACACGCTCACGTACAAACCCGCTAGCACGTCCTCCATCAGGCGCACCTGGGCCCACGGACGGCCAGACAGACACGCAGACACACGGCCACCCTACCTGAGCCTGCACGTAGTCCCAGGCCTCCTGCAGGCTGTCATCCTTGTTGTCCCTGTAGTCCCGGATGAGCTGGATCACGATGTCGCTCATCTGCTGCTTCACCTGCAGAGGGAGAGCAGGAGCAAGGTCAGATTCCCCGGACCCGGCTCCACCTCCGGTCACATCTCCTGAACCGGTCCCCAGCCCTGGGGACGCGCTCACGGCATTTCACCGTCCGTTCCAACCCCTTCCCTGGCACTCCCTGGGTGCCAGCCCCCTGCGGGTCCCAACGCTAACCCAGTGTAGTCAGGGCCATCCCCTCCCGCCCTGCTGTCTGTTCGGCACTCAGTAGCCATGTGACTTTTTAAACACGAGTCTTTCCATGTTGCTGTTCCAGTGGCCTCCTACCATCCTCAGGACAAACGCCAACGTCCTCTCAGTGGCCCACAGGCTCTACTTCATTTGGCCCCTGCTCTTCTCAGACCTTGTTTTCTCTGTTCTTGCTTCCACTGCTTCAACTACACAGGCCTCCTTGCTGTTCTGTGCTAGGCACGCTGCCTCAGGGCCTTTGCACTTGCTGTTCCCGCCTTCTGGGATTCTCTTCCTCGAAATATTACCATGGCTCTCTTCTCCACTTCCTTCAGGGCTCTGCTCAATTGTTACTGCCTCAGAAAGGCCTTCCTGGACTACCCTACAGAACACCAGCCCTTCTCCATCCCCTCCCAGGCCTCCTGATCCCGCAAGGGTTCTTTGTAGCATCGGCATTACACGCTCATCTGTTCTCAGGATTTATCGTCTTTCTCCTCCACATCCCCCACCGTGCTCAGGACGAGGAAGAGTGAAGTATCTGCTTTTCCCTAATTCCACGAGAAAACACTGATTCACAAAGAAGGCAGACGAGGGCTGCAGGAACAAAAGGGTTCTGCCCCAAAGGCCCCTCACTGGGGATCTTGGCAGGAAGCAGTCAGCTGTGCAGAGAGACGCAAACCCGAAACCTGCCGAGAGCTGTCGAAAGCGGAGAACAGGGCCTCCCTCGGCCCGAGAAGCCCGGCCCCAGGTGTGGGGGCCTCTGAGAACCAGCCCCGGCCGGCCCCCACCCCGGCCCCTCCCGTGGACTTTGCTCAGGCGCCTTCCCCTGCATGATGGACTGGTCACCGCCACCTGCTGGGGCTGTGGATCCCAGGGCGAGGGGCCCGACAGGGGCAGGGGCACCCAGGGGACAGCCGCGCCCCCGCCCCTTGGTTGCTGAGAAAGGGGAATTGGGGAGACGGGACAGGTGCTTCCAGGCTCAGAGCCTGGCTCGGAACCCTGCAAGCAGGGCTTCCGCCAGCTCCCCACAGGCTGCCCGCGCACGCTGGGCTCACAGAAGCCACATCCTCCGGATGGACCTGCGGCCCCGGCCCTTCACTCACCCTGCGAACCCAGCCCCCCTCCCGGCAGCCCCGCCCCAGGACTGCTCTCTGCCGGCTCCCTCTCGATAAAACTCTTGCATGATCATTTTTGTGTTGCTGGCACAGTGCGCTACAACTTACAAAGCCTTCCCACCAGTAACAAATCACAATAGTGGCTAACTTTTATCAACAGCTTGTCGCTACCAACTCTGTGCTGAGCACTTTTAATGCGTTATCTCCCTTTAATCCTCACAGCAGGCCTGTGGTCTATGTATTGACTTCATTCCCTCTTTATAGAGATGCAGAAAACGAGGCCCAGAGAGGTGAATTAACTTGCCGCAGGTCACACAGCCAACATCCGGAAGAGCTGAGGTTTGGACCCAGGCTTGTCCGATTCCAGAACCCCAGTTTTTACCCATGAAGCTCTATCAGCATTTAAAGCACATGGCCACACCGTGAAGGAGGTGGGAGCAGTTTTAAGGAGGGCCGAGAGAAGCTAAGTGGTTTGCCCATGTCACACAGCTAGGGTTGTCCATCTGCAGGTCTTGGGTCTTTCTGCCCGGACCATCTCTGCTCCACCTCTAACCCCCAGTGACAGATGATCCCCGAGCCGTGGAAAGGGGGGGTTCCCCAGAGGCATCGGCATGCAGAGCCGCCTCCCTCACATCCTCCCCAGCCACCGTCCCCCGCCGACCGAGGCCCTATTTATACCCCAGTGTGGCTGCCACAGCAGCCCAGACTTCCTTGTTTCAGGCCCCCTGAAATGAGAAGGTGATGGAAGCTGGGTGGTTTCCTTTGAGGCTGGGTGGTTTCCATGGAAATGCCACATCATCCTCCAGCCCAAAATGTGGCTGAGAGGCACAGGCAGGCACGGGGAGCAGGGCTGCAGGGGCTGGGTCAGCTTGGGGCCGATGCCTTAGGATCCCAACGCCCAGGAGGCCGTGCTGGGAGCCCAGGGAGGTCACCCTGGCAACAGGAAGATGCTGAGACCAGGAGGAGGAGAGAGGGAGGGCGGGACGATGCTCGCCCTCTCAGTGCATCCCTGCAGGGGCCGCCTGCGGCATCTGCCTGCCCTGCACCCATTATCTCTTCTTCTTGAAACAGGAACTCCTTTCCTTAGGGGAAAGCCCCCCTCCATCCCTCCCTGTGGCTGGGAAGCCCTGTCCCCTCGCTGCCATGGGCAGGCAGAGACCCAGGCTGCCACTTAGTGCCTTCCACACCCTGGGCTCAGCGAGAGGTTCAGGGACGGGTACGTGACGCAGGGTCACACACATGGCCTCTCTTTCCGCTAATCTGGCGGGATGAGGGAGAGGTGCTGGTGGCCGCCTCCGGCTCCACAGGGGACAGCCTGCCTGAGAAGGGAGCCAAGGGAGGAGAGCAGGGCTGAGGGATGGAGAGGAACAGAGTTCTAGTGGCAGCCTTTGGAAACCTGGAAACCTGGATCCAGCTGAGCCTGCAGCCAGCCTGGCCAGTTTCAGTCGGGTTACTGTCACACGCAATCAAGAGTCCTGCCCTGGACCGGCTGTGTAATTCACAGCCCAGTGCAAAATGAAAACACAGGGCCCCTTGTTTAAAAGCGGTTAAGAATTTCAAGACAGAAGCAGCAGAGCATCAATCGAGCATGGGACCCTTCTAAGTGTGGGACCCTGCGTGACTGCTCGGGCTGCACGCCAAGGAAGCCAGCCCTGGGCCTGCCCGGTACCATCCTCCCCATTTCCCAGAAGAGAAAACTGAGGCTCATTGAGTCAGAACTTCCCAAGATCGCATAGCTAGCAAGCAGCAGAGATGAGCGTAACCCCGATACCTGCAGCTCCAGAAGCCTGAGATCTCAATCACAGCAAGCCACTCACTGGGTGACTTTACTCCCCCCACCCCCCCAATGCTGTGCTTGTATTTCACTGGTGGTGTGACTTTTCACAGAGAGGCAGAACTAGAAGCGAGTGTTGAATCCAGCGTATCACCCAAATGTAAGAATCCTTCCCATACTTTTCCAGGCTCGGCTTAAATGCTCCCTGTGATGGGGAACTCAGTACCTCACAAAAGAGCACATGGCAGGGTTGGGAAGACTCTGGATACAAGCAATTCACTTGAAGCTGAGCCCAAATGACTTCTACCCATTAGTGTTGGCTCTCATCCTCCCCTCCTCCCAAGTCCCAGCGGGGATCACACGGAACAAGCAGATCGCTCTCTCCCAGGACAAACACTGTTCAGATATCTGAGACCAGACCACGTCTCCCTCTACGCCCTCCTCCCCCGGGTAGCCCCAGGCTCCTGTGACGGCTCTCTGGGACGGTGTTCAGACCTCCCTGCATGCTCCGATGTGTCAGGCTGCCCCTTATAATGAGTGGCCCAAGTGCCATGTAATGGACCCACATCTTCTGTCCTCTCCCCGGGTCCCCACAGGAGCTGTTTCCAAATGCTTTGAGCCTTCATTCCCGGAATCCTGTTAGGAAGGTGGCCCTTGCCATGGGGAACGTGAAGGGGGTGGTGTATTCACTCTTAGTGAGTCTTTCCTGAAAGCCGGGCTGCTGTCTACACAACCAGTGGCCCAGGACTCAGCAGGAGGCCCCCTCACGTCCCCTGAGCCCTAAGCTCCCTGAGGGCAGGGCCTCAGTCAGGCCAGCGCCCAGCAGGGACCCCAGAGTCTCCGTCCTGCCCCTCTCTGTGATCCCTTCTGGAAGGCCAGCCTGGACGCCTCTTCCCTGTCCTCAAAGGACGTCCCCCGTCCCCTCTCTGTCCTGGGTCTGGCCGCCTCCCCCAGGGCCGGCAGAAACTCAAGCCCGTGGACCAGGAGGTTTCCATCGCGGTGAGCAGATGACTCACAGGACCGCACTGCCCTCTGGGAACCCGTTCTGCCACCTATGCCTCAGGACGTGTGCACGCTGGGCATCTGGAGCTTCCTGGTGGGACAGGGAAGGGGGGTCCACCTCTCTGCGGAGCACACAGCAGTCCAGCCCGGCCACCGTCAACGCCCCCACCCCACTTCCCCCCAGACCCCGCGACCCCCTTCCCCTCCAAGCTGCCAGCCCTCAGGCCTTCTGCTCGAGCCGCTGATAATGCCTCTCAGAGCCTCACCGCAGCAGGCTGTTAGCGGAATGGCCAAAGCCAGTGCCCAGAGCATCGTAGGAAACATACGCCCACTCCCTTCCTCCTGACCCTCTCCCCTCTCCACTGTCTGGAGAGGACAAGTCAGCATCCCAGAGAGTCAGAGCTGGGAACGGCCCAAGAGGGCACCCGAGGCTCAGAGAGGCTGGGTAACTTGTCCAAGGCCACACAGCAATCAGCGGCAGACCCCCCCAGAACACAGGGTCCCTGAATCCCAGAGCTGGGCTTTGCCCACGAAATGGAGGCTGGAAACGGCCAGAGGAATCTTAACTTCACACCCAAATCCTGGTCCCCACAGCCCTGGCTAACACTCACGTTAATACTGATGATGACAGGAGTGCTGCCATTTACTGGGCCCTTGCTAGGCATTAACGAAGTTACTAATGGCGACAATGACAATCACTTGCAGTGATGCGGGCCAGCATCTGCTCGGGGCCAGGCGCCACGTCTGCTGCGCCCTCCCCTAGGGCACCGCTCGGCATCCTGGGCACAGCGCTGCCGGCACCGAGGAGCGCTGCCATCTGAGGACCGGGCTGGGGTACGTGCCACACCCCGCCGCCTCTCCCGTTTATAACTCCCGAGGGACCCTAAATGGGGTTTAAAAGGCCGTAAATCGCCTCGCTTCCGTTCAGGTTGGATTTTGCCACCAGATGAGCGGCAGACGGTGGCTGTGGTTTTCAGAGTGGTCTGTGGAGCTGAGAACTGCAGATAAGGGTGTGGACCTGTACGGTTACCGCCATTAGACAGAGGGGGCCACCGAGGCACAGAGGGCCGCGGAACGTGCCCAGGTCTCAGAGCAGGGCTTCCAGCACGGGCAGCTCGGCTCTGGGGTCGAGGCCCCGGCCTCGCTCTCTGTTTTATAAAAGTGGTGCGGTCGGTGCTCACTGCAGCCCTAGCCGGGCTGACGGGGACCCGGGCTTGAGAGGGCACGGGCCTGGCTCAGGTCCCAGCCTCCCCCGTCACTGCCCTGGGACAGCAGGGCAGGAAGGACAGACCACAGCCCGGGAGACCACCTCAGGGGAACCCGGGGCTCAGTCCTTCCCACCTGCCCAGGAGGCCTGGAGCGCGGGAAAGAGCCGGCCCACGGCCTGTAAAAGGCCTGTTTCCTCCAGGCTCCAGCGAGTCCCACCGCCCCAGCTGGGCCCCATCTGCAGGAATAAACACCACCAAGGGTATGTTTAGTCTTCCCCTGGGATTTACAATGTGCTGGGAAAGAAAAAATAAATCATTCACTGCAACTCGGGCAACAGAGTGGCGCCAGGACTTCCCCAGCAGCCAGGAAATTTCCCCCTGCCTTCCAGAAGAGGAGCCGGGCGGAGGTGAGGTGGGCTGGGACCAGGGGCGTGAGGGGCGGGGTCTGGGGGTGCAGGAGGCAGAGGAGAGAACAGGGGGCCAAACAGTCTGGACTGGAGACCTGGTTCTCCAAACAAGGCCCGCTCGGGGCTGGGGGACGCCTCTGAGGCGCGGCTCCCGACGGTCAGCCAAGCAGGGATTATACCAGCCGGTGGGGAGCAGCGCGGGGCAGAGGGAGACGGGGCCCCACGTCAGAGGGATCAGGACGGAAATCCCTCTGTTGCATCGAGTTGTGTGTGACTGGCCAACAGTCACTTTGCTGTCCTGGGCCTCAGTTTCTTAAACTGGAAAATGCTCGTAAAACTGAAATTTGTGTCAAGTTCCTAGCTCTACCCCTGGCACATGGTTAGTGTCCAAAAGATGGGCGCCTTCTTTATTACTGTGAGATAGGGAAACACACAGGGTGTGAGAAGGTGGGCTTCCCAAGACCCTGCAGAGTCACAGAAACCAGCTCACCGGGGTCCAGTTCTTATCCACCCGGATTATAACGTACCCCTGACTGGGTCCCAGATAAGCTCCAGGCACCCAAGGGCAGAAAGGAAGACCTGATCCTACAACCCTTCCATGGGGCAGCGAGTTTCCCTCCCCTCAACACTGCCGTCCTGTCTCATAGCCAAGCGAGGTTCCTTTCATCTACTGAAACCACTATTTCCTCTTTTGCCTTGGCAGCCAGGAAGCTCAGTGTTCAAACTGACCCTTAGCTACCATATCTCATCCCCTGGCTTCAGGAATAATGGTCTTCCTCTCTCTCAGTGTGCATTCTGATCTCTCTCATTTTGATTTTAGTTACCCTGTGCTTATGTTGGAAGTCAGCTCCAATTCTCCTGGGAAACAGGCTGAGTGTGGATTATAAATAAGTCAAGCAGATTCAGGTAGGAACCACCACAATGAAAATTTCATCAGCATGAACCCAGAAGCCAGGCTGCCTGGGTTCAAATCCTGGCTCTGCCGCTTACCAGCTGTGTAACCTTTGGCCAAGTTGCTTAACCTCTCTGTGCCTTAGCTTCCACATCTGAAAATGAGGGTATCCACACCCAGGATCCCAGAGGACTGCTGTGAGGAACAAGTACGGGGAATGCAGTCTGAGCGCAGCATTTAGTACCAGGCTTGTTCCAAGTTCTAGTAAGCGGTGGTCGTTGACGTTGGTGGAACGTTTTCTCCGCTCCCTTCTAAGAGGGATCTGGGCAACGTGACCTTCACGTGGTGAAACGCAGGAGCCCACCTGGCCGCCAGCTCCGCCACCCCCATGGGGGGACAAGAACGGTATAGCCCTGGGGGACGGCTGGGACCCGGGCCGCGTGCAGTGGGGTCTGGAGTGGGTGAGCTCCGGGCTAGCCTCGGGGAGCCTACGCTCACCTGGCCTGGCCACTGACTGCTGGGTGCCCCCCACCCCACCTGTCGGATGGGGACTCTCACCCTGCCTTGCGAGGGCGCGGGGAGGGTCAGCAAGAGAATGAAGTGAAGTGGCCAATGCCGTATTCAGTACACGGTGTGGGCCGAACCCCCCTTAGGGATGCTGGGCTTCTAGGACTATGACTGATGTTGCTATTGTTATTCATTTCTCTGAGCATCTGGTTCCCTGTCGACTGAATACTCACAGTGCAGAGCTGTGTGGATGGGACGATGTGTGTAAAGCTTCTAGAAGATACCATGTGCACACAGTAGGTGCTCCATAAATGATAACTGTGACAGTCACAATCAACTGGCTCACCCAACAGCCATTCCCGGCTCCCTTTTCTCTTGTGCCTCTGTCTTTCCAGTCTGAAAGCTGGATCCTCTCTGTTTCAGCCTCCCTTGAAGCCAGGGGTGCCTCTGTAACCCAGTCAGGGGAAGATGTTGGAGGACTTGCTTCTCTGATCAGAGATGGCCATGGCTGGCACTGCCCCTTTCCCTTTCTTCTGGCCACAGCAGCACAGATGTTGTGCTGGTGCTGTGGCAGCCATCTTGTGACCATGAGGTGAGTGGCATGATGCAGTGAGTGGCACGATGAGGATACTGAACAGCCAGCCAGAAGCACAGTCTCTGAGCTTCCAAACCCTACTTCTGGTTAAGCCAACAACACATCTCCTTAGAGTTTAAGCCACAGTCAGCCTGATTTTCTACTCCATAAACCAAGCACTTGCTGTGTTTTACTAAGATAACCTCACTGGATTCTCACAGCAACCTTGAGAGTTAAATTTATTATTGTCTCCAGTTTACAGAAGGTGGAACAGGCACAGAGAGGCAAGCAACTTCCCCACGGCCACACAGCCAGAAAGTGGTGGGGTAGAGGCGAGTTCAGACCCAGCAGTGACTCGACCCACAGACACTGCCTTTTTCTCTAACATTCCACACGTGATCCCAGGGCACTGGAGGCCCGGGAGGCTGCCTTGGCACCCACTGGGCTCGTCTGTGACAGCTGAGAGGCCTTCTGTCCATCCCCCACCCTCAGAGGCAATGCCCTGCGTGGCAGGTCCAGTCCAGGCGGGGGCGGGGAGGGAGGGGTGCTTACCTTGCCCATGTTGAAGTAGAGGAGGACTCCAGCCGTGACCTGGGCGACGAAGATCAGGAGGAGGAAGGTGATGTACTGGGGACACAGAGCAGGCACAGAGTCAGCTGCGGGTCCCCCACCAGGTGCACCGCCCCACCCGCCTCGGGAGATGCTCCCACCCCGTCTGGGCCAGTGCGGGGCTCAGGCCCCCTGGGCTGGGTGCCGGGGCTGGCAGGCGGTGTGGAGGGCTGTACTCACCAGGCCCAGCAGACAGCGGACCTCCCTGACCGTGCCGAGGCAGCCCAGGAAGCCCATGAGCATGGTGACGGCCCCCACGCTGACGAAGACGTAGGCCACCACCTTGAGCCCGCCCGACGAGGTCTCTGCGGGACGATTCAGCCATTGAGTGCAAAATCAGGGGCAGGGCCCCGCGGTCTAGGGCGGCTCCCGAATCCCCTCCTGGGCGTCGGGGCACTGGGGTCAGACCCTGGGAGGAGCCTGGGAGCGGCCTCCCCGGATGGCCGCGACTTCATCTATCCTGACGCATGCCTGCTTTAGTTTCTCTCCTGAGCACTTTCAGCATTGAAAAGACTACCTTTTGCTGATTTTTCTGGCTTGTTGTCTGCCGCCCCCACAAGAACGTCAGCTGGACGAGGGCAGGACTTCGGTCCCTGCTGGACCCCCGGCCCCCAGAGCAGATCTGGCCCAGCGAAGTGCAGCACGAGCATCTGCTGAATTCACGAACCGCAGACTGGCCGGTCCTGCCGGGCCACAGACCTGAAAGGCTGCCCTCCTCCTCGTCCGTGTAATAATAACCGCCAGCAGCTCTCACCCACTCTCGGGGCCCCGGGGGCTTCACACACCGTCTCCCACTCTGGCACGACTCTGCCTGCTGGGCCCATTTCACAGAGGAGGAAACTGAGGCCCAGGGAGGTGCATGGGCAGGGCCAGCGCTGGGATGTGGAAATGCGCAGACCTCCAGCACCACGCGCCTTCCATTGACGCTCGGGGCACACATGGTGACACGGGTGTGACACTTGTTCACTGAGTCAACCAACAAATCCACACCAGGCGCCCACTGTGTGCCAGACACGGTGCCAGCGGCTGGGGACACAGAAGTCAGACTGATGAGGTCCACAAGCCAAGAAGCTGACAGCCGGTGGGATGTGCCGGGGGGACAACAAGTCAACAGTACGGATCTTCCGGTGTGAGAAGGGCCATGGAGACACCGAAGCCACTAGTGGAGAGGACTGTGGGGCAGGGAGGGGGTGGGGAAGGCTGCTCTGAGCAGGTGATATTGGAGCTGAGACGAGAACGGAGAAGTCGACCAAGTGAAGATTGAGGGAACAGCATTGCAGGCAGGGGAACAGCAGGTGCAGAGGACTGCGGAGGAGTGAGCTTGAAGCTTGTGTATTTGAAGAACGGAGAGAAGGCGAGGAAGAAGGGACCAGCGTGAGGGAGAGGAGAGTCTGACAGGCGATGTGCTCGAGGCGTAGAGAGAGGGGCTTGAGGGCAAGAGACCCTCTTCAGGGCCACAGGCGGACAGAGCCTAGAGGGCGGAGGTCAGGAGTTACATCAGGGCCCTTGACCAGCATCTCCCATTGACCAACAGATCACACAGGGCAAAGGTCGTGTCCACCTCCAGCCCCTCAGGCTGGGGTACACTCTAGCCAGGAGCTGACATGCAGGGAGGGCCGGTGGCTGAGCACTCGCGGAGGTGGCCGGGCCAGGATGTCTTCAGGCTGGAGACAGCCTGGAGCGCATCCGTGATCAGAGGCCTCTCTCAGGGATGCAGATGCCGGGTCCATCACAGCCGGACAGATGTCCCTGGGCGACCGCCTGGAATCTGCATTCTGAGTGTGCTTCCTACTGACTCGGGCACGGCCGGGGCCGACACAGCTGGCCCTCAGCAGGGAGAACACGGGCCGGCTCTCCGGGCCACCTCGGAGAGGATCCCCGCCTCGGCCACCGAGGGGGCGTCAGCGCCCTTCAGGAGTAACTACAGAGCTGGAGAGTGGGCCGGTAGGAAGGCCTGATCCAGTCCACTTCCTGCTCACACACAGAACGTTCTGGAGCTCAGGAAGAGCCCCGGCCAGCCCTCCCCGCCTCAGGGCGCCAGGGCAGGGCTGCCTCAGCCCAGCTCCTCACAGGAGCCCCCAGGATGCCGGGCAGAGACCCCCTGGGGTGAATGTGGGGGTTCCTGGCCCTGAGCTGCCCTTTCATTCCAGCCCTCCCCACCCTGGCTCTCAGCAATCACCAGGGCAGGCGGCGGCCGGCAGAGTTCACTTCTCCTCAACTTCCTGGGTTGGGGCTCCAAGTCTGCCCAATGACTACGCCCAGAAAAACAGGACTGGCAGGGCCTGGAAACCCGCTGTGCCAGCCCACACAGGGCCCTTATCGGAACCGTCCTGCTTAATTTCCACAACAGCCACGAGGGTGGCTTTACATCCTGACATGCCCCTCAGGGCCCCGAGGCCCAGAGAAGCTAAGGGGCCACCCAGGTGCCCAGCAGGCCCTTCCCCTGGAGGCCAGCGAGCGGGGGGGTCTCGGTTTCTCAGAACATTTCGTCGATACCAGTCCCTGTCCTCAGGGTCTCAGCTGGCCCTGGTCCTGACGCAGGAAGGGGACGCGTGATATCCCGAGGCAGCCCACCCACGGTGCGTGGCAGAGACATCTCCGTCTGACTGGGCCTGGCAGGTTCCAGCCAGGTGGGGAGGAAGTGGCCCAAACTGAAAGGGACTGAGCACCACGAGAAGTGGGTTCTAATCCCAGCTCTGCTGCTCTCGGGCAGGCCATCTTCTGGCCCCTATTTCTTTCTCTGTAAAATGGAACTAAATCCTACTTCTTAAAGACGTTATAAGGATTAAATGGTATTAGAAACTTCTTAACAACCATTATGCAGGGTTTACTATTCACTAGGAGCTGCTCTAAACTCTTTCCAGATATTAACTCATTTAATTTCTCGCAATAACCTTATGAGGTGCATTCTGTTACATTCCCCTTTTACAGATAAAGAGGCACAGAGAGGTGAAGTGACTTGCCCAGGGTCACACAGCATGTAGGTAGCAGAGCCAGGATTTGAACCGTGGCAGTCTGGCTGCAGTCTGTGCCCTTAACCACTGCGCTTGCGTCCTCTTGTTAAGGCAGGATTGCGTGGCATGCCACAGAACCCTGCAGTACAGGGGTTTGGGGTATGGGGTGCTCTGGAGCTCTGCCACCCGGTTCACACCCCAGCTCCCCCACCTTCTAGCTGTGTGCCCTTGGACAAGTGACTTGCCCTCCCTGTGCTTCAATTTCTTCCACTGTACATGAGGATGGTAACGTCTAGCCCGACGGTGAGGATTCCATTAGGTAAGGGAAGAGCTGTCACGCAGGCCTGGCACACAGTAGGTCAGGAGCCCTGGGCCCCAGCTCTGACCTCACTTGCTGTGTGACTCTCAGCAAGTCTTTTTCCCCTTCTCTGAACCTATAGTGACTAGGCTAGCAGATCGGTGTTTCTGAACCTGGCTGCCTAGGAACCACCGGGGCAGCTTTTTAAAAACCACAGTATTCCTGGCCCCCACCCACACCAATGGAATCAGATCCCTCGGGGGCGGGGGGGGCCGGGTCCTGATATTTATCAAAACACCCTGGGTGCATCTAGGGGCCTCTTAAGTCAGGCCTGATTCTCAGACCTAAACAGGGAGCGGGGAAGGCGTGGCAGGCGGCTCCTGGCGCCCCGGGGCAGGGTGCAGAGGGCACAAAGGCTGTGGGCGGGCTGGGCCTCCAGACTTTGCCCTGTGGCACCGTGCCTGCTGGGTGTGGGCCACGGCCCAGGAAGCAGGGATCCTGGGCCCGGTCAGGGCCGAGGAGGATGTGTCCCGTGTTCGGAGGGTGTGGGGAGCACGGGCACCCGGCTGAGGGAGGAAACCCACCCCCCAGCCCCAGAATGGGGGAGCAGTTCACGGCGCCCCAGAAGGAAGCAGGACTGACAGGTCTGAGGCTGCATCGGATGTGTCTGGAGGGTGGATCATCCTTGCCTCCCTTCACATCTGAGGGGAGGCCAGGTCCCCTGGGAACACAGCGACAGGTGTGGCCCCTCCGTCACCCGTCCTAGCCTGGTTCCGTTTTATTCAAATCGAGCAGCTGTCCTGGGCCTGAGTCCAAACCTGCTGCTCTGGGCAGCTGCTGCGGGGGAAGTGAGCCGCGGATGCGCTTGCTGAGAGGCGTGGCGTCAGGGTGCCAGTTGGGGCCCTCTCTCTCCCACTACAGAGGGCCACGAGAGATCAGTGCTGCAAGCCTGGCAGGCTTCCTGGAGGAGACTGTGAGTACACCTGTAAGGGCTCTCATCATCCAGGCACGAGTGCCTTGGGCTTCTTTCCTCCTGCTTCTACAGGGCGAGAGAAGGGGCTTCCACGCTGTGGCTCACCCCACCACTGCAGCATTTCAGACCAAAGCTCTCAGGGTTCAAGTCCCACACCTGTCCCTCAGGAGCTGTGTGAACTTAAGCAAGGGCCGTAACTTCTATGAGCCTCCTTTCTTCACTTGTAAGGCAGGAATAGAATAGCTCCGACCTCACAGGGCTGAGGTGGGATTAAGACAATTTATATGTGCAGAATGCTCGGCCCCGGGCCTGGCACATAGCGAGCATGCACGATGGAAGTCGGGCCTGGTACCCTTCTCACCAGAGCACAAGCCCGACCCACCTCACTGGTGCCGGGTGCATAGTAGGCGCTTCATCGACACCTGACATCTGTCAATCCCGGCCCTGTCTTACACCTCTCTGAACTGGGAAGGAGGGACCATTGCCCACATTTGGCTGACCAGGCAAATGGAAGGGGCGAGAACATAAGAGGCTTTCACAAGGTCAGGGCTGAGCGAAAGGCAGGATGGGGGAACAAGCGCCCCTCATCCCCCAGGGTTCTCTAGACAACAGCAGCTTTGTTTGGGGAGCGAGAGAAGATTCTTTCCGGAAACCCCTGCAGAGGGGCCCACAGCAGAGCGGTCAGCAGTGGGACCTGGGCAGGACCCTGAGGTCAGCTGAGAGAGTGACCAGCTTGGAGGCTAAGGCACTTGTGGGAGGAGCCATGCCTGCTGCCCCGGCTGTCCCTGTTGTCCCCCCACCCCACAGAGCCAGCCAGGGAGGGGGGTCAGCGGGTCCTTACGCAGGACAGAGATGAAGCTGCTCCTGTCGGCCAGGATCCACACCCCGAAGCCCAGGATGACCGCGCCCAGGATCTGCAAGGACAAGGGGGCAGTTAAGGGGGGCCCGAGAGCGGGTAGAGTGAGAGGGCCCCGCCTAGCTGCCCCTGCAGCCCAGGCCAGGGGGACCCAGGGGAGCCACCTCCATCCTTGCCCAGCCCAGGATGTCAGGGTGGCCTCAGGCCCCAAACCCCAGTCCTGGTACCCCAGAAATCCAGACAGTGTGAGGAGTCCCCCCATCTCCCGTCTCCCCCCCCACGCCCATGCATGGTCAAACCAAGCCTGCGGGCTTTGTGGGGCGCCGCCTCCTAGCAGGGTACCCTCCTACTTCATCTCCTGGCCCTTTCCCATGTCATCACCTCCACCCTAGCCCAGCTCGGGGGCTGGAACTTCCCAAACACACTGGGGAAGACCCTCCATGGACTTGAACATCAAGCCCACTTAGATGTCCCTCAGAGCTCAGCTCCCAGGCCTCCGTCTGCAGGAGCCTTCCTGACGGGAGGGCTAAGGGGCTCCCACTCTGTGGCAACCACGGTGGGGCCCTCTCAACAGCCATTCCCGCTGGGTTAACTCTGCCGTGTGTCTCCCCTGGCTGGACTGTGGGCTCCCTGCGAGCAGGGCCGGGTGCGTGCAGCTCTGCAGCACCAGGGGCTGAGGGCTCAGGGAATGGAGGAGTTCATGAACCCCGCTGGAAATGCAGGAGGAGAAAGGTAAGCACATGAGGGGTGGCTGGCGGAGGCCCAGGCCCAGGACTCCCTGCCTCCTCCCCCTCCACCAGGGGCCACCACCGGAGCCTCCCTGCCCAGGTGCAACCCCGGCCGAGACCTACCGTCCCACCAGGCCGGCTAAGGCGGGCAAAGGCCTGCAGTCTGGGCACAGGCACACGTTCCCCCTGAGGGTGGGGCCCCGTATCACCCCACAAGGTTGGCCTTTCCCTGGGGCCTGGCCTGGGCCAACCTGGGGAATAACCCACCTTGAGAGTCCCTGCGTGTCACCACCCACCTCTACCGCCAGCCCCGGGTTCCCACCTCAGCCATCATCCCCTGAGCTCAGACGCAGCCTAGATCCCCTAAGCAGCTGTGGATAAAGCCCCCAGCCCGGGCGAGCACTGGCCCCAGGGTCCTGACCAGCCTCTGCTGTTATCACAGCCCAGAGCTGGGACCCGAGGAAGATGAACGGGGCACTTGCCTTGGGTGTAAAAATTAAGGGGACACCAAAAACTCAGTAACCAAGATAAATAAGAGTTTACAGCAATTCTTCTTAAAAAACCAAAATTAATGGGAAAAAATCCATGATGAACAAAATATCAAACTTTCAAATAAAGTCAGGATCTGTATTCCTGGTTTTTCCCTTTAGAAGAGGAGCGGAGCCCCAACACGGCGTGGCGCTTTCTCACTTGGAAGCGAGAGCCTCAGTCGCCTGACCCTAGTCCCGGCCCCGGAGGGACAGCGGCAGAGATAACACAAGGAGGGAGGCGTGATGACCACCCTATACTTGTCCCCACTGTCTTCCAGCAGCTCACTCGTCCTCTCCTCTCTCCTTTCAGATGGGCCCTGTCATTGTCCTCATTGTACAGTCGGGGAAACTGAGGCCCCAACCTTGCCCGAGGGCACCCAATTCCTCCATCAGGGGCTCAAAGCCGGGTCGGACTATTCACCTAGGCCAGATGGTGCACACCAGCTACAGGGATACTTGGATTGTCCTGGGCCTTGGCCTAGAAAACCAGTCTCTGGGGACAGGGAGGCCACTGAGACCCTGGGGAGGGGAGGGTCCACCCTCAGGTGGCGGCACCTCACACAGCACAGCTTGCTGGGAGGAAAAGGGGGCTTTACAGAACCCAGGAGTTTGGTTCCCAAAGACCCTTGAGCCCCTGCCTACCCCGACCCTACACTTCACAGCACAGCTGGCCAAGGGCCAGTCGTCAGGCTCACGGTCTGCTCTGTCCCCTCAGACCCCACGGCAGAGCCCTGTCCTGCTCACCTCTGCACTCACGGGGCAGGGCAGCGGGGAGAACCGCCCTTCCACAAAGGGAACGGGAGGCAGGGCAGAAAATTCCCTCTGGGCAACCGTAATCCCAAGCAGATCAAAACCACGGCCTGCCAGCTAAGCTCCTCTGCTCGCCTCCGGGAACCACGAGGGAAGTCCCTGGCACTGCCTGTTTCGTCCCTCTGTGGGTCTCATGACCACAGACTGACCATCAAGTATGGCTGCGTCAGCCGGGAAGGAGGCCCGCACAGTTGGCTGCCCAGAATGGGGGAGGTACCCCATGCTCTGTGAACCAAGCCTGGGGCCGCAGAGCACTCCCCCACATCAACCACCCCCAGCCCCACCAGAGTCTCCCAACAGGACCCAGCCAGAAGCCGAGACCCTCGCAGCCGGCGTCCCTCCCCCAGGACAGCCAGGGCACCAGCAGCCTCTGGGTGTCTCTGGACCTGAGAAAAGCTGACTGGGCCGTCTTCTGGGGAGTTTGGGGTCAGGCGGGAGCCAAGGCAAGGAAGTACACGAGTACACGCGTGCACGGGCAAGCACACACAGCACCCGGAGTGACGTTTCCAAACCACAAGTGCCATCACGTAACCATTTCCCAACGTGCATACAGCAAGAGCCGGATGCTTCCTGGAGGCCTGCACGGCCGCGCCCTGGGGAGGCCCGCTCTGCCCCGCTCCCCGCCGGACCACCTGCTCTCCTAGGGGCCGCATCCTTCATCCCCAGCACCTAACACGATGCAGTGTTATCATCCATTTGAATAAGTTTTTCATCGGAGTCCCCCGCCCCCAAAACATCAGCCCCAGGAGTTCAGAAGCCACAGCTCTTCTGCGGGCGAATGTCTCCCTGTCACCCACGACAGGGCCTGAGTACACAGAGGTGTCAAATGCAGATATGGTGAAAGAGTGAAGGAACAAACACACTGTCCCTAAACCGTCTCCCTTCCCCTCCCCCTCCTGCAATAAAAGCCGCCCCCCCCCACCCCACAGCCCCACATCCCGTTGGGCCATCCGGGGCCCCAGCACACAGGCAGTTAACACCTGACTCCCTCCAGCCCTGGAGCAGCCGGGAAGAGGCGCTGGCCAGAGGGAAGCTTTCCCAGTCTCCGGCTCCAGAGGGCGGCCTGGGAGAGTGGCGGGAAGGGACAAAACCATCAACCTGGGTCCCTTTCTCCACAAAGTCTCTACCTCCTCCCTCCCACTGCACGGGGGGAGACGGGGTGTCTGTGCCCTGAACCCCAAGCCCTACTACCTCCTAGGCTATAGCCCAGACCCCTCTCTCTAGTCTCTCGAGCCCCCAGTGATAGAACCACAGCACTCGGACCCCTTGTCCCCCAGTCCCGGCCAGCTGGCCCTGGAAGCCAGGCTGAGGTCCAGGAGCCAAGCGCCTGCCAGAGAAGGCCTGGCTCTGGCTGCGTGGGCAGCTGCTCTCCAGAGGCCTGGGCCGCCAGGAGGGGCCTGAGCGCCAAGCAGGGGAAACCCAGGTGCCCAGGCCCTGCCCAGGGTGGCTTCCAGGCCTGGCTGCCATCAGCGGAGGGCCAGAGCCACAGCGGGGCCTCAGACCGTCCTCGAGGAGGGGCCGGGCCTGGAGTCAAGGTGGACAAACCGTAGCGCCAGGGCTGTCTGCGCATGCGTGTATGCACGTGTGCATGCGTGTACGTGCACGCATGTGTGTGCTTCTGTGTGCCAGGAACACCCTTGTAAGTCTCTGCGTGTTGGGTTAAAGTCATGACAGAGAATTTAGAATGGTTCTTTATTTCCCAAACTTTCTACAAGCCTACGTAACTTGTAATGTCAAACTATTTTTCCCCCACAAGTAATTCATGTCTATTGTAAAAAATCTGGAAAATGCAGAGAAGCATAAAGAATACAACCCAACTTCCCAGGAGTCCCAACATGAACATTCAGAGGTATTTTCTTCTCCTCTCAAAAATATTCACATATGTGTACCAGTTTTAAAAATAAAATTGGATCATAATAAACATTCTTTTGTACAACTTGATTTTTTAACAGTATACGGGGCCCAAGGACACGGGGAGGACGCAGCCCCAGCACCCCTCTGGGCCATGAGGGCCTCTCTAGGCACTCGCTCCCTCATCTCACACACACACACACTCACACACACACACTTTCACGCTCTCACACTCTCATACATGTGCACTCATACACACATCCTCACACACATTCTCACTCACACATACTCTCACACAAATGTACACACCCACACTCATACACACACTCCCTCACACACACACACTCTCACATACATACACTGTCTCACACGCCCACACTCATACACACATACACACACACACGCACCTCTCACACACCCACACCCATTCACACACACACATACACACTCTCACACACATACACACACTCACACGCTCTCTTGCACACATACACTCACACACACACACACACACACACACACACACACACCATCATCCTGGCAACTCCAAGGCGGGAGGAGCCGCTGGTGCCAGGCCAGAGGGGAAGATCGAGGCCCCAGGAAAACCAGCTCCAGACGTGCACAGAGCTTCCATCTGGGGGCCCTGTGGCTTGGGGACCTGGTGGGGCCCGCCAGGGTGCGCCTGGGGGAGGGGGACTGGGTTCCCCTCTGGCCCTGAGCCCAGGATCTCTTGCCCACCCTCTGGGAGCTCAGGGGACACCCCCACAATGGGGGTGGGGTGCAGTGGGGGCTGAGCCCTGGAACTATTAACGAGCAGTTTCTCCAGGGGGGTGCAGGAGGGCGGGGGCGGGGGGACAGGACGAGAAGATTCCAGAGGCTCCTCCCAGCACCCCCCACCGACGAGTCAGGGGATGCCAGGGGTTCTCCTTTCCCCATGCCCCCCTGCAGCCCTGACCGGCCTGGGCCTCGGTGCTCCAGGAGAGGGCAAGGCTGGGGGAGGAGCCCGGTGTCCCCAGCGGAGCCACCGGGAACCTGGGGACTCTCCTCGCCACCCCCAGCCGGGTCCATTTGGAACCGTCTATCCTCAGCCCCCACTAGCGACCCCTCCACCGTCCCCAGCCTGGCATCTCAGAGGGTCGGGCTGGGATGCACCCAGCAGGAGGGTCTCTGTTGGAAGCGATCAGGGCGGCGCTGGCCATACTCACAAAGAAGAGCAGGTTGAAGAGGAAGAGAAAGTACTTGGTGACTTTGACACAGGCTGACCCCATCCTGCCGGGCCTGGAGCTCCCTAGGGAGAAGAGAGAAGGAAGGTGGGTCAGTGTAGGGCGGGAGGGTGCTGGGGTGGGGGAGGAGAGGGAACCAATGTTGACGGGCACCCGCCCAACACCAGCTCGCCCTCTCAACAACCCCACGAGGTAGGTGCTAACATGAGGGCCCGTTTTACAACACCCTGAGGCCCAGAGAGGTTAGACGCCTGGCCAAGGCCGCACAGCTAGGAAGTGTGGCCCTACGGGCAGTCTCGGCTGCGTGATGCTTGGCAGTTAGGGTCTGGGCCAGCCACTCCCCCAGGGCCGGGCCTGGAGGGACGTTCCACAGAAGACCCTCTGGCTCCAAAACTTGCCCAGATGGACGCTGGTCGAAACTGGGAGGCGAGCAAGTTAGTGAGCGACTGCTGGAGACCAGAGGCGAGACCTGTGGCCTGCTCCGCGGATCTGCAGATCCCCCCTGGGGCTAGGGGCTGGACCGCGGGGGCTGCGGGGCAAAAGGAGAGCTCTCACTTCTCAGAAAGTGGACTGAGTGCTCCTTCCACCTCATCACCAAGGAACAAACACGCATTGCAGACTATCCAACAAATACAGAAAAACACAAATTCCACAAAAATTTTTATCTCAGCCCCGAGATAAAAACTGCCATCACTTTAGCAGCTATACTTCCAGTGTGTGTGGTTTTAAACAAAATTGGGCTCATACTGTACAGAGCGATCCGTAGCCTGCTTTTTTCATTCTACAATAGACGGCCTCTGTATGCTGATAAAATGTTCTTCCACGTCATAATCTCACATGTTGCACAGGAGTCCACGCTATTGACCTGGGTTTATTAACATCTGGGGTGGTCACATACTCCCCCAGAAAACTCATGTATAGGCAGCATTTTGCAAATAATCTCTGGGGGTTCACAGACCCCATGAAGCCCGTTCAGGAACCCCCAGGGCCCCCAGGTTAAAGTCCCAGATACAGATATGCCACAGAGCGTTTATTGGGTGCTCTGAGATTGGACACACAGGTGTTTCCAATTTTTCACAATCGCCCTGGGTGACACACTTGTGGTTCTGAAACAACACAAACCACGCTTGAGCACTCTGGCTGGGTCCCTTCACACCCAGGGACTCCAGGCAAGGCAGGACGAAGGCAGGAAGAGAGGAGCTGGAGGCTGGCTGCCCTCACCCCCTCCCTGCGGCCAGACAACCCAGGAATGACAATGGCCAGCCCTCAGCCCCGGTGGGGCCAAGGCAGCCCGCGCAGGGCAGCTGGGGCCAGGACAGCTGCAGGGCAGAGCCGGGCTCGGGGGTGGGGAGGCAGGCACCAGCCACAGTCATGTCCCCACTGCCCTATGGAGGTGGGGGCACGGAGCAGAGGGAAGGGAGGGCCAAGGCGTGGCTTCACCCCCCCCTCCTCGTGCAAGTGTGCAAGGCAGCCCTGAGTCTCGTGAATCTCCCCGTCCACACGGTGATCCCCTCAGCCTTCTCCAGACATAACAACAATCTCCCATCATCCTTGCCAAGTGGGAGCTCAGCTTCGACTCCCCTCACCTCCAGTGATGGGGGAGGGGGAGGGGGAGGGCTCACCCCCTCCCCAGGGGTCGTGCTCAGTGTTCTGACATCTCTGTTAGAGAAAGCTTTCTTTAGCTGCCTTTCTGTGGTCAGATTTGGGCGCAACATGAGGCAAAGCCACCCAGAGAAGGACAAGACTGCCTGGGTGGCAGTGAGCGCCCCGTCACCAGCGGCATGGAAGCAGTCTGATAAAGACTTGTGGGGGACTCAAGTGCTACATGGGGCGATGACATGGAACAGCTCTTCCAGTCTATCAGGGTCCTGGGCCCGGGTCTGAGAAATGCAGGGAGAGCAGTGACACAGGAGCTAGGGAAATCGGGCCCCCCCAGACCCAGAGGGGAAAAGACAAGGGCGCCCCCACGTCAGGAGTCCAGAGATATGAGCCCCAGAACCAGGCCAGGCCCGAGTGGGGCCTGCGGGGGAAGGCCCACACAAAGGGGAGCTATTGTGTCCCTCCGTCTCCTCCCGGCACAGCGCCTGACCGACCACAGGCGCTTCATAAACTCACACTGGACAAAACAGCAAGAGGGGAAAGGTCCTCGCACGGAGAGAGGCAAGCTTTTCTTTCCTACCAGGACCTGCTTAGTCTCCTGCCCGGAACTGACACGGGACGCCCCGAGGGCTGACCCGGGCTCAGCCCCCAGCGACAAGTCCCCACGTCCCTGGAAGAGCTTCACTGACTGCACTCGAGCAGCCTCCCCGAGAGCAGGGGAGCTGGCTGTGCTCTTGTGAAATCAACAAGTGTGGAAACAGTCCTTTGGCAACTCCGGTGGGCCTGCGCTGTTGCACAGTTCTAGAAATTCCGGGAAGAGAGTTTCTACATTTTCCGGCTCCCATAGCGGCCGCTCCTGGGCTGGGTCTCCAGGGCAGCCTTGCAGAGCTAGGATGCTCAGAGAGGGGCAGTCTTTAGACAAGAGTAAACACCGGGCCTGCCCAGGGAGAAGGTGCGGCCACCCTTGAAGGGCACCTACTCCAGGTGGCCATTGGCATCTGTCATCCCCTTTGTCCTCACAACCAGCCCGGAAAGTATTCTTGTCCCTGGGGCCGAGGTTCAGAGAAGTGAAGCAACTTGCCCAAGTTATACAGCTCGTAAGCAGTGGTGGCTCCAGAGCCCAGATCTTTCCACTGTGAAGTGTTGTCATCCCGGCAGTGACCACGACTTTATAAGGGGATCTCTGGGGAGGGCTGGGATTCTGTTACCAATTAGGTGGTGAGTACCAAGGTGACAGCTCAAAGGCGCTCTGGTTCAGGGGGCAAGAAGGAGGCAGAGGCTGCCAGGCTGGTATTCCCTGATACTCCAGATCCTGGGCAACCTTGCTGGTCTCCTGGTGGCTCACACAATTGTACCAGGCCCTGGGCGAAGCCCTTCAGTGTCCTGTGAGCAAACTAAGACCCAGAGGGGTGAAAGAGCTCGCCCAAAGTCACCAGCATGTGGACCAGCAGGGACAGAATCCAGGCCGCCTAGACTGGTGGGCCACCCCATGCCCTCCAGGAGGCAGCTGGGGGGATTCAGATGCTGGAACAGGAGCCAGGCAGCCCCATGATGGGCAGGCAGGTTGGCCAATCAGCACGGGACCTGAGAATCGCCTGAGGGAGGAGGAGATGCTGAGAAGCAGAGCCCGGGGCAGGCGGCTCGAGGGCATGTTGGCTGAGACCCAGGATACTGAGTCTTTCTTCAGGGAGCCCACGACCACCCCCAAGCCCCGGAGAGACCCCAAAGTTGGATTCAGAGGGCCTGGGGTGACATTCCAGCTCTGCTCTCCCATGCTGAGGGGTCTGAGCCTCCGTCTCCTCATCCATGAGATAGGAGTAAGGGCCGGGGCGAGGGCAGGGGTCGACCAACTTGGGTCTGTGGGTCCAATCCAACTCACCGCCTATTTTTCATACGGCTTGCGAGCTAAGATCAGAGTTTACATTTTTAAATAGTTAGAAAAAAGTAAACGAAAAAATGTTCTGTAACACATGAAATTCAAATTTCAATGTCCATAAATAAAAGTGTGAACTCCGCCCACGAGATTACACGTTGTCCTTGGCAGAGTGGGGCGGCTGCGACAGAGACCATTTGGCCCACAGAGCCTAGAACATCTTCTGTCTGGCCTTTTATGGAATAGTTTGCCAGCCCCTGGTGTAGGAGATCAAATGATGTACACGCCAGTGTGTGTAAGAGGCAGCCAGGGTCAGGACCGCCCTTAACCTGGGATCTTGGGGGGACAGCGAGCTGGGTGGCAGGAACCAAATTGTTGGGAGAGAGAAGACGCAGATTCCTGGGACAAGGGTTCACATACCGGCTCTGTCAACACATGGCCACAGGGAAGGGACTTAATGGGGCCCCACACTCCTCACCTCTAGAGTGCGGGTCCTAAGTGAACCCACAGTTATAGAGAGAGAGGTCAGCGCCTGGCAGAGCCGGGGCTCAGTGAGCGGGGCTGGGGTAAGCGTCTTTACCATCGTCAGTACTCTCGGAAGAAGTAAGGGGTGAGAGTTTCACTTACAGATGAAATTAAGCACAAAGAGTGTCTCCCGACGTTATGCTTTCACGTACACACTTTCCGTAAACACTGGAGGTCTGCCCACGCTTTCTTACGAGGGTGTATTAACAGCCACAAAACAAGGAAATGAAATGCAAGCACGCCTTGTCGGAAAATTCCAGAACAGTCACTGACAGCTGTGTGAGCAGTAGGGAGGGGGTGCTGATTTTATGTTATACTTTGTAGCAGGTAAATTAACCATTTCTAAGCAACCACAATTTAAATTGACCAAATATACAATTTTACGCCAAATCAGTTTGTACAAGGAAACTATCATACTAATATTTTACTAACTCCTACTCACCCTTCAGTACTCACCTCAGATATCACCTCCTCCAGGAAACCTCCTACTCCAGCCAGGCTTGTCACCACGGCCACTGCCACCCCCTCCCCATCAACACGCATGTTGGTTAGGGGCACCCTCTCTGCTTCCTTCCAGTGGCACTGGATCCTGAAGCCATTCCCAGAACAGGCTCTGATATCAGACCTCCTGGGTGTGAATGTAATTCAGTCACCACCTAGCTGTGTGATCTTGGACAAGTGACTTAACGTCTCTGAGCCCCACCTTACTCATCTGTGAAATGAGGAAAATAAAAGCTGGCAGATTTGTCCAGAGATTAAATTAGATAACGTGGGTAAAATGCCAGGCACATGGCAGGCTTTCAGTAAATGGAGGTTACTATTATAACTCATGATGCTGTGCCCTTATTCTCTACTCACTTGTCCATCTCGCCTCAGGATTGTGATGTCTTGAGGGGAAAGACTGTGTGTTATTTATGAGAACAAAGTAAGCTCCCAGCAAATGTAGCCAAATGAAAGATTGGATGCGTGGATGGATGGAGCAATGGGTGGATGGGTGGATGGGTGGATGGAGGGATGGAGGGATGATGAATGGATGGATAGAGGGATGGAGGGAAGGAGGGA